AGGTAGACTTTGGCACCTTTCGTGATGAAGACAGCCGAGGCAACATGGGCGAACTGACGAGAGTTATGTCGTCCATCATAACCAAAGACAACACCTCTCTGGGAGAGAACATCTTCACCAAACCTCTCGATCAACTGCATACATAATCCTTGAGCAGCTTGCATCACAGTCAAACAATTGATACGGTTGAAGCCAGCTCCCATCTCGCCACGAAGACCAGCGGTACCAAACTCCATACGATGATCAGGATTTAAGCGATCTTGGATCTCCTCGGGGGTGAGCTCTTGAGCTTCCTTACGAGTGTTCTTGTCGAAATCGAGAGTAAGCCAATTCTCAACAGGGCTTGACATGTTTAACAGAAACTAAAAATTTAACTACATGGAAGAATACTGTCCAATCCAAACAAATGAATCGAACTCTTTCGCTTACAAATCACTGATGACGATGAAGATGAATGTTCACATATCTTTAGCACTCAGCGTGAAACAACTGTCTCCCTTTAGAATTGTGTACACACAATACTTGTCTTCGTACACGGCTACGTGGGGCCGCTTTGTTACAAAGCGGAGTCCCAAGTCCAAACAAAGTAATCACAAAGTCTCTGTAATGAGGACTTGGGACTCTTTAAACGTTTTTACTAGAGTACAGTCCGGGTTAGGATCTGCGTCTCGAAGGTGGTTAGTTTCGTAGTTCTATTTGCTCTATCATTCAGCGTAGTGACAACACAACAGGTTGTTGTGCACAGTTGGCCTGCAGCTTCGGTCCGCTCGCAAATATACCGGCTCGAATCAGGCTGTCATTTCAGCAGACAGTCGGATCTGACTAACTCAGTTCAATCGATTGGCACTCACTTCGTAGCACGAATTCTTCAGGCTGAGATGTGGTTGAGTTGCCCTCCAATAAAAACCAAGGCCTGTTCTGCGCGCAACTATCTTGCTTTAATACACATCAAGGTATCTCTTTCTTCATGAAGTAAGCAAGCGTGCTTTGCTCAGACGATGACCGTTCCACTGGTTATCCGATGTATCAATTGACCGATACTTTTCCACTGTTTGATCAAAGCAAACAGTGAAAAATAGCAAATTGCCCTGCACTGAGCGACTTTCGAAATATTGAACCACCCATTCGTACTCGAGACCAGCCAACATTCGCTGTATGTCGCTTGTGTGTCATCAAGTGGTCACTGGTTACTCGAACTCAAAGAGCATATGAACATTCAAAGCTTATCTCACAGAGCCTAGCATAATGCCCTGAACACTACCAAGGAGCAGCAACTGTTCACAGTCGAGAAGTCTCGAGACTCGCGAACAATACAAAGGCTGCAAGAGTCATTCAAATGGACAAATGTCCCCAACGATGATACAATCATCAAAAACATACGATAAATGCCAGCATTATGGCGGACTGGACTCTAGCAAAAATATACATCAGCTTAGACAGCAGCAAGACGAGATGGCCACCGTCAACTAGCGATCACCGGCGCTCCTTCCTTCTTTACTTGGGCCCACTTCTTCCCCATGGATTCAGCATTCCGCGAGCCGCCGCTCGACCCTTTCCGTCTTTCAGGCCGGCTAGGTCGACCACCTCCAGTTGAGTTTGTCGAGTCAGACGACCCTCTACTTCTGCCCTTACCATCTACTTCACCGCCCTTACTCCTACCTAATAAAAATACCACTAGCCCTTCGACGCCACAGTGAAACTACTTGCCTTTGCCCTTCCCTCCTCGTCGAGAGATCGGTCTATCACTTAGACGATAGAACTCATCACCGAGCTGTCGAGACTCCTTAGCCATATCCTCAAAGACATCATGATACTGTAGATGGCTATCCAGGAGCAACTTGGCATCGTCAAGGTCCTGTCTTCTCCCACAAAGGACCAGACAAGGCGAATGAGACGTATCCTCGAGCTTGGCATAGTTCAGGTTGGCAGAATCAGCAATTTCATGCAGAGTCGCAAAACGGCGGCCAATAACCCAACCAATGCAATTCTGCGGTATCGGATACCTGTAGTGGTAGCAGGTAAAGGCGATCCTCATCAGCCGATGCTCTCACCTCTCGATAAGGTATTCGAGCTCAGCTCTAGCCTTATTGACAGCTCCAACTGTGGGACCATATATGACCACTTTCCTAGTCTGAGGGTCTTTGGCTGTGCCCTTGTCCGCAACATTCACCTCCACCCCATAGTCCTTGATAACCCGACTGATGTGAGCCCCATTCTTGCCAATCATAATGCCCACCAACTCAGCGTCGATGTTGAAGGACGTCGACTCTTGATTCTCCAATTTCTCACGACGAGAGGACATGGCCTGAGGAGTGAAAGGGTGCAGCACGCCTCCCATAGGAAGAGCTCTTACCTCGAGCATTGCTTGTCGTTTGTCATGGAAACCTTGGATTTCCTTTTGGTGTTTAACGTGGACATCAAGCAGCAACTTGGCTCGATGGATATCACGCTGCCTGCCAACTAGAGTCACCGAAGGGCCACTCTTGGGATCGACCCGAGGCGTTGCCTAATAACATTGTGAATAAATGAAATCATAGGAACGAATACCAAAAATCGGCCACATCAGGCTCATAGATACCCTTACCTTGAGGAGGCCAGATTTGATTGCAACTTGGTTGAGACAACCTCGACCATCATCACTCATTACCCAATCGCCGAGGACCTTCGGAAACTTGACACTCTCCGAGTTCAAGTCTGCTAGGTTCGTTGGACCTGCTGGCATCATCCCCTTCTCTCTGTCCACGCTAAACGCTCCCTTACTCGAGCTTCCATCCTCAAGAGGCCCCACTGGGCGACGAAGGTTCCCTCGTTCGACGATGATAGGCTCGTGCAAATCGGCGTGTTTGACATAGAAGAATTCCTCAGCTCGAATGCTGACGATCTCGCCAGTCCACCAACTGGCCGGAGCATGTGGTGTAGCCGGGGATCGAACCTGCGCCCATAGCAATCAACCAGGGAGAGTCCTCATTGCCTAACCTCAACAGCATCCCCGACTTTAGGCTTGTAGTCATTTGCAGAGGTGCGTGCCTTGTTCGTCAAAGAAGACACTAACCGTGCCTGGAAGACATCCTTCTGATGACAACTGGTTAAAGGCCTACTCTACCTCCGACATGGGTACAGTCTTCGGTGCCCAAATGTTATCTTGAAAAGCGACAGTTATCTAAATGTGAAGAACTAGGGGGTGAACCTAATCAGTGGGCACCCACCATCTTCTTGGCAACATCGATGTCGGCAAGATAACCTTCAAACCTACTACGATACATTAATAGAAAACTACATGTGCTAGGCGATAGTGGTACTACCATTTCTGTGGCGCACTTTGGTCCTTTATTTCAACAAGAGGTGAATAGCGATGGACACTACCCTTATCCAAGCCCGGCAATGTCGATGGTGTGCTACACTCAGCCATTGCGATACCCGGTGAGGGTCGGCAGGCAAAAATATAAACTCAACTGTACTTGCGATGCCCACTGCTGCTGCCAAGAAGCCCTCCAATATCTACGTAATACTATTAACAACAAGAGGGCTTCCGACTTCTTTCAGTTCCCCTCTACTCCACGCGCACAAGCTAATGCAACGCAACCACTGGTCGTTCGAGAGATTCGTTTCTATCTTGCGCCCTTCCCTAATCTTGCATTTCCTCAGCCGAGCATGGGCTAACGGAGAAAGGGAAGCCCGAAACCCGACGGGAGAACCAGAAACCCGAACTGTTATCCAAGGCCAAGCTGTAATCCAAGGCTAAGTCGGAATGCAGGTGAGGGCGTGCGCCAAACTTCTTCAGAAAAGGGGCTTATTCTTTAGAATGAGGATTTACCAGAAAACATTGGGTTGGGGGAAGAGGAACTTGGGCGCCCGAGAGACGAGGTTTAAACTGCTCGGTGATTTGTCGTTACCCTTGGAAGATGGCGGACGAGCTACTACTATCAGAATTGAACAACTCGTCGAATCATAACCATCAGGTTGATATATGTGGCGAATCTTGACTTTATCTTCCAGCTAAACCACCGACTGCAACATCCAATGATCGAACTAGGCACGCGAAGGTCAGGCTGTTTGAGAAGTACATCAAACTCGCATGCTTCCACTCCTAGCTTCCTTTGCTCCACATAATTCCCTGAGAGATCCGTCGTGCAAGTCGTTGGGAAAAGGTGCTGTAGTGAGTAATCTCGCAGCAGGAAAGGTCCTTGCCTGGACGTTGTTCCTTTCCGAAGGGAAGCAGACCGAGATATGGGAGCTGCTCTGTGCGCTCGCTACCCTCAGGATCACTCGTAAAGATGATAACGAACACAACGACGTGACCATAGCATTGTGTATCGGTTTATCAGCAGCCACCATTTGACAACTAACCTTGACATCAATATGGTATCTGGATGAGCCTCTTTGAGCGACTCCGCATTGAGGGCGCCCACCAAAGAATAGGGTATGCAGCAAGCCGTTGCCTCACTGCAGAAGCTTGTGATACATTCGTGCACACGTAACACTCACGATTACACAAATATGGCTCTAAGCTTAGGTTCTCCCCTACGATCATTCAGACGACTTTGCTACATTGGTAATGATATGCTAGACCTAACTCAATTTGAGATGATGCATTTGAAGACTTGTGTTATATATACGGGTCGCTCTTCGATACTTATGTGTCAAAATGTTCATTAAAACTGATAACTAAACGCCTATGTCCACAAGCAATAGTTGCAATGATCACGATCAGCTCTGAGTGAATCCCACAGGGTAGCTCGATGCCTGTTCATAGACTAAGCGCTCCTTATGAGGCCAGGTGGTAGGTCTGCATGGTCATCACTAAGCGGGATCGATAATGAACAGATTCGGTAGTTATCGAACGCTCACTCTTCTTGCTTCACACGTTTATTAGGGGCATCATCACTACTATCAGTTTCATTGATTACCGCTCGCTTCGATGACGCTGACGACTCTGAAACAGATCTACAGCAAGGGTCCCTCTGCCAAGCTCACCCCGTCCAGGCTCGCCCTCTTGGTGCTCCATCGGTTGATCCCCCTCATCATCATCACCGTTGTCGTCGTCCAAACTCGGCGAGGGTGATGGTGGTAACGACGTGACGAGCCCATCGACAACCTGGAGTGACGATCATCTAAAGTCTAGGAGTATTGGCAGACATACCTTCGATGGAATAACAGAGTTCCTTGCAGTAAGTGAGAGGTCCTCAGCCGCATCTTGGATCGCCTTGATCGAGGCATTACTCACCTTCAACTGTGCCTAGCAATAGGTGCGATAGAGAGACGAGTGATGCAACATAGAGGTACTTGTAGCTCTTGAATTATGGACCGCAACTTCGCCGAATATTCCACTAGATTACCATTATGCTTCATAAGACGACACCGCGTTGAAGAGGCTTGCTGGCGGACCTTTTCTGCATCCAACTTCGCTGCCAGCTTTTCACAGCGGAGATTCTCTATAGTCTAAACGACGACCTTTCAACACCAACACCAGAGATAAATCCTCATACCCGTTGCATCTGAGTAATCTGCTTATCACGATCATGAAGAGCTTCGTCCTTGGCTTTAGCCTGTTCTGCTACTTGCTCTTGCCGAACGGTCAAGTCCCTCACTCGTGCCTGTAACCTATACAAAATATCGACAACCCTATAGCGAGGATAGCTATTACCTTATAGCTTCAGCTCGATACCTCTCCCTGGAGGCTGAAACCCTATCCAAGTCGCTTACAGCAGTGCTCTGC